TTCAAACTTCATTAGAAATCAATTAATGGCAATAGTGAGAGAAAACAAAGGATCGTCACTCTGTAAAGAGCATATTAGACGAGGTCAGTTTCGTACAGACTATTGAATATTCATCGGCTATCCCCGTTCGAAAGACATCAACTTATCCTAAAACAATTGTCTACTTTAGGAGCCACTGATATCGAATAGAATATCACAAAACAACAATATCAGTGGTGGAGATAGGTGTCGCACGACTTACGTTTGGATAGACCCACTCCATTATTCCATTCGTCCTATCGATTTCTATCGATCGAAGTCAATCAATTCTAATTCGACTCGATGAACGTACGAGGCTGACATGTTTCACTCTATCATTACCAATGTAATATCGATAAATATTTTGTTTTCCTCCATAAGATTTTTTAAAGCATTATAACAATAATGAGAATAATTATTAGTAACCGGTCACACAAATGATATTCTCTCTTTTCTCTATTTCAAAACCAAGAAACTGGATCATGATTTATTTATTGAAAAAATGAGATTCAAAGAGAAGAATAAAAATTGAATATGAATACGAATTCGAAACGACAGCCTCACCAAATACATGATATTAGACACGTGAGTACAAGGACAAGAAGTTTGAAATGTGTTTCTCTTAAAAGCTTCATAGAGATCAAATCGATCGATAGGCTCGATAATAGGAGTTCACAAATGGTTCTCTCCGGTTTGCACGGACACCTCGGAACCTGTGATCATCGGACCGGATATGATGTGAGGTGAGGGTAATACGAGAGGAGTTGGCATGGCGATCGACGGTCTGAGCCTTTCGGTTAGAGCAAGCATCACTTGGCAGTGCAAATGTTGAATAGTGGCGAGTAGATTGAGATTGGTGTCGATGAGACCTGCAGCAGGTGAAAATCTTTCACCTTCGACGTTCTCTGTGTCTATGTCCATTGCAGTGATTTTCTGTTTATGTTGTTGTTGTTGTTGTTGTTGCTGCTGCTGTTGTTGTTGTTGTTGCTGCTGCTGCTGTTGTTCTTCCGCTGCCTCCTTTAATGCTTTATTCTTCTCGGCCATCCTCTGCTGATGTTTTAGGTACGAGGTAGTGATGGGAAGACTATAGTCGATGGGCGTGTTCTTGGGATCCAATCCCGGGCTCCAGGGCCTTGGCAACGGTTGACTCGGCTGCGGAGATGGAGTCCGACCCTCCGGCAGCATCCTTTTCCTCTTAGACGAAGCCGAGCTTCTCGAACTCGCCCGATCAGATTCTGGAGTTCTTCGGGATTCTGGTAGAATCTCCGTGCTCGATAGAAATCCATTCGCTGGTTCCTTCTTTAATAAATTCGTTATGCTCAAAGGATTATATTTCTCTTCCTTATCCTTCTCATTTTTCGTCTCCGTTACACTAACAGCACCCCCATTCTTTGAATGTTTCTGATGTCTATAATTATAAAGATTTTTATTTTCCGTCGAATCTCTCGACTTGCCAGTGCCGTTAACGTTGTTACTTTGAGTCGTTGAATTTGACGTTACAAGACCAGGCGTCGGACTCAACCTCGTTGACATAGACGTTGTCGTCGTTGTAGATGTCGACGTAGAAGTTGTCGTCGAGGAAAGAGCAGTTGGATGAGATGACTGATTAGATAGATTAGTCGGACTGGGAGTTCTTGGTCGTCGTTGACACTCGGTACATCCAAGAAGAAATCGCGTCACAGCTTCTCTTGGAAGAAAGGCATACGTCTCTGTGATCTGTAACAAAGAGCAAATGAAATATCGATTTACAAACATGTCAACTTTTAATATCAATTTTCCGAATTTATCGTACATTTCTCGGAAAGTAAATAATTTTATTACGATAAAATATATCAACCTCCGATAGCTATGCTATAATGTTCAAATCACGATTAATTTATACGATTAATTCATATTTAAGTGTTGTTATTAGCAAAAAATTTTTTTACGTTAAATTGATATTTATTTATGAATTATAAAAGCGAATATCACGTGGTACGATATGTTAACTGAATTCATCGAGTTATGGGCAAGAGTTTTCTTATGGTTAGAAATCATGGCGATTTCTTATGGTCGAATGTCACATCTCATCGTTCACTCGTTGTTTTACGCGAAACGCCCACCTGGGGAAAATTCATGAGTAGTAACGGTACTTTGATGTCTTCGCGAGAAGGTATTCAACCGGAGGGATGTTCTCTGCCTCTTAATAGGAAACGTTTCTCTCTGCAAAGAGACGGAGGGGCGGCATAACTTAATCAACGATAGGAGTTTCGTTGCTGGGTAAGGTAAAGCTTTCGCTCGTACAAACGTACAACGTACATACGTACGTAAGTATATACGTACGCAAGTATGTGTAAGTGTGTGAGTATGTATTTATGTATATATGTATGTGTATATATGTATATATGTATTATATATATATATATATATATATATATATATATATATATATATATATTTTCTCTGTAAGTATGTATAACTGTATATACGTGTGACTGTGGTGAAGTAATTCGATAAGATTTACTCGAAGCTCGGCTGCCAAGAACGGGATGAAGAGAGGAGAGACTCAGTTAAGAAACTGAGATAATGGCTTTTGGATCAACATGACACAGTGGTAAACTTACAGCGAGTCGAGCACGACGGCTTTACCGTCGCTCGTAAGTTTGATAGAAAATACGTAAGCTCCGATACCGTAGGAGTAGCCTCGCGGCAATGCTTAGTAGAAACATCGTGTGAATTTTCTATTTTAACATCTTTTTTAATTGGACGACGATCTTTCTATAATAATAATAATAATTATTATTATAATTTTATTAATAATTATTTTACAATAATTCTCTATGTTTTTCTCTAATGATAATTTTCATAATATTTTTATTATGGTTGGTAATATCTAATCACATAAAATCATATATTTTATGTTTTGTTCATTTGAAAATCATATCTACGTTAACAACAAAAAAAATACGTTTTCTCTCTTCTCTCCATTTTGACAATTCTTTAAAAAACAAATTTCTGTTAATCGTTCGTAATAAAGAAGATTGTACATGTTCGAATTTATCTCTGAATACTGCAATGAAACAATCAGTTCCACGTGACTGCAAGAATGTACCGCAAAGTTGTGAACAATACTGTCACGACACGTTTGCTTCGTTGCGGTTGGACACGCAAAACTATGTATATTATTATAGCTTTCCTCGAGGGTCTGATGTTAACCGACGAAAATGTTTGTATGATCATCGAAACGTTTTTCCAAAAGATCGTGAGACAAAAGTGAGATTTCAATGTTTCGCTTAGATTTTTGACAAGATCAATACGAAAAACGAGAAAAATATTCGATTTGTTCATGATATTCTCGATTATTTCTTAAATGCAACAATATTTAAAAATCAAATAACAAATATATACATTTTACATTTAGTTACTTATCTTTTGAATTATCACATTGCAGAGATTTCGATCATCCGTATTCATTTTTTTAACGATTGGTTTAAAGTGATTTGATTAGTCGCTTAAAAACCAATATGAATCCTACGATCATATTCATTCCAACGAAAAATAGCAAAGATAAATTGCGGAACTTTTTAACGAGTATAGAGGGTTTCCCGATTTGATGAATCATTCTCATGTAGCCAACAACTTAAAAGTAAAATAGTATCATCTTCGTGGCAATGGCGGTGATTCTCCCTATAACGATACACCCACATACACGTATATCATATATGTATATCTTTTTCATTATATATATCATAATACAAATATAAATATATATATATATATATATACATATATAGTAAACATAAGTGAGTGAACGAATGAGTATATGTGTGTATACGATGTGTACGAGTAAGCAGGCAATGCAACAAGTGTCCTGAGGTTTTGAATCACAAGCAGATCGTGGTGAGCGAGAGAGAACGCGAGGAAAGCTGGTGTGAGCGGCTACGAGATAGAGAGAAAGAGAGAGAGAACAAGTAGTGGGAGGGGGGAAGCTTGACGATTGGTGAGCCTCGAGTGCGACGAAGAGGAATAGAGAGGTCGCCGTCGTACTTCGTCCAACGGAAAGAGACGAAAGGCCGAACAAGAGAGAGGAAGAGAGAAAGATGGAGAGGATCTAGAGAGAGAGAGAGAGAGAGAGAGAGAGAGAGTAAAAGAGAGAGAACAGATATGATACCCTAGAGAGAGGTTTCCGCGAATGTGCGCCGGAACATGTGAGATGACGTGTGGTATCGAGTGTTCGACGCTTGAATGCCTCGATGCCTTCCCCCTGAGAACGGTAAATATCGCGTGTCACGCACAACAACCATGGCAAGAGTTCGGTAGCCATCTCCATACGAAAGATCGAAACTGATCAGATCGTACAATTCTCTTCAGGATTCTATGGATGGACGGACGAGTTCTTTGCACCGTTCAATAAAGAAGTCCATTTAAAAATGGTGGATGCCTCCTTCTCGAGGTCACGTATGTGTATTAGCTTATATCAGATATGATGTACCTAAATATGTGGTATGAGTTCGCGTTAAACGGAACACGTTCTTTTTAAATCGATTATATAATTCCTTATCGCGTATCGTGTTGTTTTACAACTGTTTTTTTTATTCTTTTTTTTTTTAAAGATATTTATATGGAATGTATTTCTAAATATTTATATATATATATATAAGCGTTGAGGATGAGAAAGTGATTTTTGTTCGAGTTGATTAGACGATAATTATGAAAATTAATGAAGTTTTGGTGCTACGTATGTATGTTCATAAGCGCTACTTGTAACCAAGCACGTGTCTCTGTCTCTCCATCGAAGATAACTGAATCGTTAATGAACCACTAATGAAGCAATTTTAAGTGCCACTCACCGTCCGATAGGTGCGCTTCTGACCGGCATGCTTCCCAGGACGACCCTCAAGGTCAACGTGAACGGCGTGAATAATATCGAAGAAATTCTCTACGATGGCGACCTTTTTGTAAACCCTTCCAGGTGGAACCGTACCCTCTGCACCGTTCAAAGCCTGAAATCGATAATATCAATCGTTTTATAATAATTTGTTATTGCAAACAAGTACAAATGTTTGATAAAGAAAGAAGGACATTGTCAGTTTACCGAATTCAATTGAAAATTTTCTTTTTTCTTTTAATTTATTAAAATTCTTACAATTTATTAATTATATTTATAATGAAAAATAAAAAAAAAAACAATAAATCCATAAACATGTTTTATTTTATGTAAACATTAATCATTTTTTAACCACCAAATGGGGAATAAAATGGTATCGCCATCTAGTAGTGAAAGTCAGTAACTGTTCGTTCGTCGGTGGAAGTAGTAGAAAACTTCCTGATCGGATCGATATTATCCACTGAGTCTTGGCTTTTCTAGCGTAGTTATGTAGGTGGTAAAACAAATTACTATCTTGAAATAGAGGAGATTTGTAAAAAATTGTGCTTATAATTTTATAAAACAAAAATCTATTCAACATATTTTCGAGAGAAATTCTTCATTAAGATAATGTGACATAGTTGCATGATAACTCCACGTTACTTCTAATATTATCCACTGAACATGACTTCCTATAATTAGATGGCAGCACTAGCATTATTACGAGAATTTTTTTGTAACAACGGAATTTTTCAAAAATATTCTACAGCAAACGCACCAGAGTGACATAGTTTCTCTAACATCATACTTCAACGCTTCGAACGTAATTTAATGTTGAGAAAAACAGTCCGTTCTATGTGATTTGTAAGATGACGAATCAAAAATCCATCGAAAAGATTTCATTCTACGACGACAAAGCATATTAAGCGCGTTTTCTCGAACTACGAATGGAAAATATTTCATAGAGAAACTCGCATGAAAAGTACTACGGAAATTTTATATATTCTCGTAACAACGTGACTTCAAATAATTCCCGGCATTACAATTTGCAGATAGAAATAAAATGGCGATTCGAAGAAGTGGAGACCGCAGGCGCTGTCCTCGGACAAACTTGGCGACTTTAAGGAGTTCATCCCGCATGCGCGACATTATTGTATTTGCCTGAACACCTGTTGAAGAATAAAGTTGAACTTGTGGAGCTTACAGTTCGACTAAGTGGTTGCGGTCAGGCAAATAACAATACACCGATATCCATCCGAATGCCATTTCAAGCTTCCTTTACCTTTGACAATTGATTCGATGAATCGTAGACGTAAGTTTTTATCGAATAATAATCATCCAAGATTGATCTCTATTGATCAACCGATTTCTCATTAATTCGTAACCATTTAAATATTCCATTTATCTATTCTCTCTATCATGTTGATTTATTAATTAACATCGGAATAAGTGCATTTTTTTAAAATACTGGAATATAATTAATATATCCACCGAATATTATTAAAAGAAAAGAAAAGAAATAGTTTCTGATACTCATATTTCTTATACTCCTTCAGATACTTGCATATACTCTTTATACATTCCAATAATATTAAAAAATCTTCATAAGATCGATCGATCAATCGATCTTTGACAGGGAAACTTCGTAAAAATCATCTAAATGTTTCTTTAAATTTCTCCAAAGTGAAAAAGGAGAAATCTAACCTCTTTAAATCTATCATACGTTTCGTATATACATACCAAAAGTTGTGCGTAGACTCAAACGAATCGACTGGGTATACCGTTCGATAGTCGAAAACACATATATACATACATACATATATGCGCGCATACATAGATAGAATACGCGTGTGCACGTTACACGGAAGGCGGATTCTTTGAGGCAGCGCCGGTTAATGATAGCTTGCTACGTATGTACACGTTATATATACATACGTACTCTTTTCCGTGTGCACACACAAAGCACACATACATATACGCATACATACATACTACATACACAAGGATGATACGACGGGAGCGCCGGGGTGCGTTTCACGGTAGGATACACAGAAGCGTGAGTTCGGTATCCTGTCGCCTGTCGGCCACCCGTGTCACGCAGTACGTGTAATGGGCTATGACGAGGAGAACCAGCGTACGGAGAATCCAAAAGCGCGACCGGAGGGAATGAAGGGAGAGAGGGGATCACCCCATACCACATTTCCCTTCTCTTCTCTCTCTCTCTCTCTCTTTCTCTCTCTCTCTCTCTCTTTCTATCCTCTCCACTCTATCGGCGCACCTCGCTATCGAGGTCAAAAGCGTTTCGCACTGAATGCGATACCTTACGATCGTCGACCGGAAGTAAATCGAAGCGTTAATCCACGCGCATCGATTTTCGAACTTCCGCCAAAACTTCGTCCGTTAATGATCTACGTTTAACTAGATAATGTAACTAATCAATTTTAGATCGATCGAATCACTTAATTAATTTCATAAAGAGAGAGAAAGAAAAAGAATAAGAACGAGAGAGAGAGAGAGAACGAGAACGAGAACGAGAAAGAGAGAGAGAGAGAGAGAGAGAGAGAGAGAGAGAGAGAGAGAGAGAGAGAGAGGAAAAAGAGAGAGAAAATTAAATAAACATTCTGACAATATGGGCG